TGCTCTCAGGCGCTGTGGGGGCTCTTAGATGCTGTAGAATCAGGTCTGACAAAGCACAGCCTGGTCCCGACCATCCTTACAATCTCGTTATGTCTGAGCCCACTGCTGCAGCCCCTGTGCCCACCCACCCCCTCGAGGGCACCGCCTCTCTTCTAGTGTACCAGCATGACGCCCTCTCCAGGGACTGGTCTCTCTTGACAATGTGTCCAATCTTGCCACCTTCGCTTCTGTGACTTAGGACAGGTCTTGTCAGGTGTATCGCTCAGTAGTCCTATTAGTTCAATGCTATTATAAATGGCATTCGAATTTCAGTTCCTGACCATCTGTTGCCATTATATCGAAATACAATTGATTTTTTTTGTCTATTGATATCGCCCCAAAATTTGCACCCTGCAGTCTCATCAAGCTCTGTTTTAGCAGTCCATGCACACCTTGTGCTATTGCATGTGCCCACATGTGCGCCACAGACACTGCACTTCATACGAATTGATGATAGTCTGTAGCAACTTTGCATCGGACACGTCTAGAACCCACCCCAAACTCGCCACCATGGAGTCCATGCTGATTCGATCCGTAGCCGTCCCCTGTGGGTTTCCGAGACTGGAACCGCTGATGGGAGTAGAAAGCCCAGTCTTTCTCTTGGCGAGTTGCTGGTGATCTCGAACTGCCAACCATGAGGATGCCAGCCCAACGTGGAACCACGACACCATGACACCGCCAGGGCTCCTTTGGACACAGTCTGTGGGCGCCGTGTTTCCAACCGCAGTTGGCCACTTCCTGTCGCGGTGTCACACTTGTGCATTTGTTTGTTTGAGAGCAACCTGTTTGTCACTGAAGACCCCATGTCCATTTCAGCGTTGCTTTCCCTCCTCTTTGTTTTTAAAGCCGCCCGACCATCAGTTAAGTTTGCTTTGAGGGATAAGGAATCTGGAGGGATTTAACAAAAAGAAACATACTACATATCTTTACACTGCCCATCTCAAGAAATGAGATCAACAACAGAAAGACTGTCTGTGATTCTTTCTCCTCCCCCACCCCAATCTCCCCTTCCCTCCCTCTTCAATCATGAATCCCTCCCCTCCCCCTGTTCCCGCCCCCATCCCTGGCCTCCTGGTCGTCATCAAAGTCCTGCCTATTGGTGCATAAGCCACGTTTCATTTCTTTGTTTTCCTTGTCCCAACGGGGACATTCAGCACCCGTCTCTGTAAGACGGACAGAGCCTTCTCAGCATCGTGCGCTCCAGCTTTGTCCGCGGTCTGCAGCGTTTATGAGAGTGCTCGTCGGAATATCCCAAAGTATGAATGTCCCAGAGCTTGCTTATCCATTCCTCTATAATTGGGGCTTTGTCCACCCCACCCCCTGCCGCCCATGTTTTTGTATGATGGAAATTGCTGCAATTAACATAGGAGTACATAC